GTCTGATAAACCCTACAAACAAACCACTATTTAATCATTTTTTTAATTATTTTGCTCTACATCGATGGGTCCTTTATTCTTTCTTTGCCCTGCATAGATCCTAACTACTTAAGATGTCAACCAGGATGGACCAGAAAACTACAACTTCATAATCACTCAGACCAGATAGGAAATTCTTCATAAGACAATAATTTGGTCTTTTCCTATTTTAGTCTGATAAACAACAAAAAACCAAAAAACTGCCGTTTAATCGCGCTTTTCATCTTTCAATTCTGCGGCATCTGTAATGCAAAGGAACAGGCTATTTTTTTACCGAATGTAATTTGGATTTATTTTCTAATCAGGTAATAATGTACAAAGCGATCTAGTTTGCAATTTATCTCTTCGTATATTGCAATATCGGGAAGTTTATTCTGCCTGACTCGTTTTGACTTTACACCATCTCCAGTAAGTCTTTTGTCGGGGTTAAGCAGGGCGAAACAAAAACACAAACTGTAGGTTAAAGCTCACGTCTGTACATTTGTTTATTCCTAAACATTTGATTATTTACGATCATATTGGTATTTTAAATTTTTGGTTTCTTTATTTCGCCATCCAGGATCCAAAACTACCAAAATTCGGTCCTTCTTGGTCCTTCGTCGTATGGTAATAATGTTTTTGCAATTTGTTCGCTAACCAATCCGTTCTATCACTTATCAAAAGTTGGCCTGGGTTATAAGCAGGGTGCGGCTAGACAACAAAACCACCACTGACATTGTGGAAGCGATAAACGCTCGACAAAACCATTTAAAATCGAATAAAAGGACCACGACTTGGAAAACAGAGCACAGAAATTCACGAATGAAAATAGCGAAATGAGAAATTCGTCTGACATAAAAAAGGGGAGGATAGACGGACCAGGATCTGAGGAGGATCATGATCGACCGGACTATGTGATCTACATTTCACAAATCTCATCAAAATGCCATATTAATTTTAATTTTCAAAACAAAACAATCTTAACCGTGATATTTCAAAGTAACTGACCACTGGAAACAGGGAAATGCAGAAATGTCCAGCCTATAAGTACTTCAGCAAAACGCAACAAGAAATCTCACAATGGCCTTTAATGAACTTGTAATACTACTACGAGCGGGTCAGAGTTATAAGCAAATAGCGGCAATATAACAAAATCCACCAATGATGACAGTGAAATAACAGAAGGTCTGATTAAACCATCCAGGCCGACCAGGTTAATCCGACTAAATCTCACAATAAGGTAGTAGTTTTTCGAAGCTATACAAAATATTTATTGAGTTGGTTCTAATGTGAATTTTATTTAATTACAAGAAATGTCAGAATAACCTAGTAGTTTTTCAAAGCTATCAAAAGTATTTCTTGTGTTGATAAACCTATCAGAAACAAAAACTAACACTTATGTGCTTGTTAACTTTCAATTCTGCGTCTCCGGCAATATAACAGTTTAAGTTATTTTTTCAACCAAACTTACTACTGACCAAATATCATTTATAATAATAATGTTTTTTTATTTAACTATAAAGATATACAACACATAAAAGGAAATAAACATTAATAATAACGTGTTTTGTTTTTTTTAATCACCGGTTGTTTAAAAATTTGCTGTATTCGTGAGGAGCGGTCAATGAGGTAGTTTAGTAAAACAATTTCACACAACACCAATATGACACCTTGAGAATAAAATGACACCGCACTTTATGCTCTGAAGTTGACCCGAATAAAGGTCGAAACGTTGGCAAAAAAAAATTAAAAAGTGTTTTTAAAAAGATGGTTTTTTTTCTTTCACTTTCTTGACCGCTCCTCACGAATTCAACAAAGTATTAATAATAAAAAGGATGGAAGTATTTGATGATGTGCAAATTTAGTCAAAATAATCCATTTTTGTTTTTGTCCTGGTGATGATTTAATAATCCGAAACTAGTTGGCAAAAGAAGAAAGTTTCTAATAAAATTTCCTTTATAACAAATCGTGGAAAGACATAAAAAAGGACCAATAACAATAGAGATAACGAGAATCCATCTGTCGATAAATGTCACTTATATTTATTTTATAATTGAGTAATAATTGACAAAATTCTATAATTTGTAGCTATGGTTTTGTCAGGACGTATATTTATTTATAAAGAAATTTGTTTTTGCAGTTTGGTAGTTTCCGATCTTCCTGCTCTTGTTTTACTGAGTAGTTGTTCTTTCAGTTTCGTTTTTGTCGTTGTCAAGGAAAATAAGCAGAGCGAGGCAAAAACACAAAATTGACTTATGTTTTACTCTTAATAATTTCGGTTATTTATGATCATCCTGGTCATTTCAGCTGTTGGTTTTCTTGTCTTGCCTCACCCTGCTTACATCCTGAAACAGGCACATGGGATTGGCAATATAAATACACTATTAGGCAAAAAATTCCACCCACTTGTAATATAACTTGTTTTGTATATATTTTTATATATTAATTAAAGTTTTTTAACGTTTAATAATTGAGCCTTTGTCTAAACAAGTAAAAAAATGTAAATTGCTAAGGAAAAGGAAAAAAATAATAATAAAAAAGACGGGCAGATAAACTTTGTTTTAATTTTGTTTCAGTTTTTAATTAACATTTCAATATCGCGTATTTCCTCCTCATGCCCTAATTACATCTTGAAGACGCCTCGGCATACATTCTACCAGGCTGGAAATGTCTCTTTTGGAGGTTAGCCCATTCTTCACGAATTCTACACGTAGAGTGTATCAGGTAGTGATGGACGTGATCTGATTCGTCTTTTGAGGTTATCCCAAAAATGTTCGATGGGGTTCAAGTATGGAGAACAGGCTGGCCATGCCATGACCATGATGTTATGGGTAACAGCAATTGAAGGTACGTTTTTACTACGCGTGGTGTAACACGCGACAGGTGGACGAGTATTATCGTGTATTAGAATAGAGTTGTCACTGATTTCATCGAGGATAGACAACGCATGATGTTCCAAAATTTCATCCACATAGCGAGTGGCCGTCAAAGACCCCCACGAACAACAACCAACTCTGTGTGATTCTTCATTGAACTCCCCGCCCATACCATCACTTAGCTACGCTGAAAAGGTTGACTCTGGGAAAAATTACAGGCTTCATACCTTTCATTTCGCCTTCTCCACTCTCTTTCACGCCCATCTGGAGATCGTAGAACAAATCTACACTCATTTGTAAAACGTACAGCAGACCAACCGTCTAAAGACCAATGGCTGTGTTCTCGAGCAAATGCGAGCCGTGCGACTAAGTGTGTTCTGGTCAATTCTGGTCTTGTTACGGGGCGAAAAGCCATCAGTCCATAAAGATTTAACCTTCTTCAGTAGTGCGTTTAGAATTTGGAAACCTCGAACTTCCTGGAGCTGATGAATCGCTTGATACATACAAAATACTCAAAATCAAAAAACGGTCATCCTGCGGTTCTGTTACCCTAGGGCGACCAGAACCGGACCTTATATTGTAGGACCTCGTTTATCGAAAACGTCTAACGGCGTATCGCAGTTTCGTAGTGAACTCCGATGGCAATAGCCGCATACCTAGTGGAACGTCCATCATCAAGACGTGCCACACCACGCGCAACATCCTCAGCACTAAGTGGCATTTTCAAGTTTAAAAATTGCAATGCAAAGATGAAAACTAAACGGTTTATTACTTCAGAATTCAAATGAGACTGAATAAACATTTTAAATTCCGTAAAAAGTAAACATAGAAAAATCATTTATCCTTGTTTTGGATTAAGGATTAAGTGTGTTTACGTCTAATTGATATTCCCAATGTAAAACATAGCATAAAAAAATATTTATTGATAAAAACAATTAGACAAAATGAGGGCAGAATTTTTTTCTTTATTTATTGAGAAAATGAAAAAAAAATCAGTTGGGTGGAATTTTTTGCCTGTCAGTGTATGTAGCTGGTATTACTAAGGTATGTGTTTCTTAATGACCTGTTGTTTTCTAATTTGTTGAAGTCGTGAGGAGCGGTCCACAATGAGGTAGTTTAGAAAGACACCTTTTTTATTTTTTTGCCGACGTTTCGACCTTTATTCGGGTCATCTTCAGGGCCTGGGTAAAACATATTTGATTGGAAAAAAATACAATATAAGATGTAAATATAAATTTTGAACCAAGTATTTCATATTCACATAAAGTGTGGTGCTATTCGTGTGGTATCATATTGATTTTGTGGTGTCACACCACATTGATTCAAAATTTATATTTACAGCTTAAATTGTAAATTGTTGTGCGATTCATCAGCTGTAGTAAGTTCGAGGTGTCCAAATTTCTGAAAGCACTGCTCGAAGATTAAATCAGTACTGATGACTTTTCGCCCCGTAAGAGGACCAGAACACACAGCCTCACGGCTCGCATTTTCTCGAGAACACAGCCATTGGTCTTTGGACGATTGGTCTGCTGTACTTTTTACAGATTTGCAGATTACAAATTTGCTCTACAATCTCCAGATGAGCGTGAAAGTGTGCGGAGAAGGCGAAATGAATAATGGTCGAAACGTCTGCAAAAATATAAAAAAGGTGTTTAACTAAACTATCTCCTCAGACTTCAACAAATTGTTACTAAGGTAGTTTAGGAGGTTTTTACATTTTCCGGTGTTTTCCCCACTGTGCGGGGGGCATTTAATATAGTTAGGCATATATTTTTAAGAGTGGAGCGGGCGTTAACGCTGCGAGGGCGAGCGGGGGCTTTACATAATTTAGAAGCGCTTCCCGACAAACCACTTCGCAAGAATAGGCGTTGATTTAAAATCGACGATCGAAATATGCGCGATGTGCGCAGGGGAGCGTCTAAAATTAAAATCACTCAACGTAAATAATCGGTTTTAATTTTGAGTGGTGGCGGTCGACGGTGTGGCGTCGTCGGGCGGCGCTGTGTTTCTCTCCTGTGACATTTTGAAACGTAATATGTATGTGGTGGGCTGGTGTGCGTACACTCGCGGATCCTGATGATGGGCGGGGGTGAACGTAGTCGGTGCTCGGTGGGGCTTTGGGTCCGTCGGGGGAAATTTAGGAGGGAGTGTGTATCGAGCATCAATCCACCTTCCCCCAGTTTGGCAGAGTAGGCCCTCGTGCGCAAAAGCGAGTCCTCACACTCCACTCTCTCGTCCCGACGTTCAGTCATAAACCTCAGACGACCACGTCTCGCATCCCTGGAAAGACGAATCGAATTTATTTTTGTTATTTTCCTATTTTTGTACGTGTGCTGTGATCTGTGTCAGTGTCCTGTGTCTCGGCGTTAGAATATTTTGTCGGACTGTAACGAGATTCTCGAGGGTCGTGCAGCTTTTGGATTACCGAATCGTGGCGATCGTCCGTTTAAAGGTAAGAATGTGTTATGTCTTGTACCCCGTCGTATTCTAGGATGCCGGATAAAAACCCGATAAAAATAAATACAAATACGCCTGTTGGCTGTCACAAGCCCTTCTGAGTCCTAGCGCGGAATCCTCCTCCTTGATCTTTGAAAGAGACATCTTTTTGCAGAACATGACACGCCGTGTGATTGTGCCGAAGGAGCTAAGCCCCCAGTCGGAAGTCGAGAGCGAAGCGAGATGAACAGGAACTTTCTACCCTGTCGTTCTTTTTCTTTTATGTTTTCTTATCGAGTGCGGATAAGCGCGTGTGTGAAGTAATCTACTGGGAGTGATGATGGGAGGCCTCGGAGGAAGCGAACAGCAGTACTCGCTCCGATGGAACGACTTCCACTCGTCCATCCTTTCCTCGTTCAGGCATCTGCGAGACGAAGAAGACTTCGTGGACGTGACCCTCGCCTGCGACGGTTGCTCCTTTACGGCGCACAAAGTCGTCCTTTCCGCGTGCAGCCCCTACTTCAGAACGTTGCTCAAGGTAAGGATACAATGACGCGTCTTAAGATGAAATTTATTTTGAAAAGAGCGCCATTTTAGGGAAGACATAAATCTCTTCCCGCCAAACGTTAAATCTTAAAATTCGTGGATCGAATATTATTCTTCTCCTTGTTCCAGGCGAACCCGTGTCAACACCCCATCGTCATCCTGAGGGATGTCCGTGAGCAAGATATGGAAGCTCTTCTCAGGTTTATGTACAACGGCGAGGTCCACATAGGTCAAGAACAGCTGAGCGATTTCCTTAAAACGGCCCAAACCCTCCAGGTCCGAGGACTCGCCGACGTACCCGCGAAAGAACAACAAAAATTACTTACTGTGAGTACAGCAATTCAGTTTTTGTTTACTTTTTTAACTTTCCTAAAGCACTACGAACGAAATCAATGCGAATTAGGTAAACATCTGGAGTCAGTTGCAATAACAACAAAAAGATAATCCCAAGCGTTTGACACACACGCCACAACACACTGTTTTTTTCACCGTTTAAACTACCACTTATCATATGATCAGATCATGTTAACTAATTAATTTTCACAATAAACATTAAGGTAATTATAAACGCTATACCAGAAAGCCCCTAGTAAAACTTATAATGTTTTTAAGTTAATGTTTTATCTATGTTAGTCGGTTAAAGGCCAAGCTCAATGCTTAGTAAGTAGTTCGAAGTATCAGTTTAAATAAATAAAATAAAATAAAGGTAATTATTTTTGCAAGCACATCATTTTACTACGGGATTTTAAAGAATTATCGTCATATTAATTTTGCTCGTCAAATTCTGTGTTTACACGTGAACTCGCTTATCACAAAGTTTAAAAAAATAAGTAACTAGTAACTAAGCCATTTATTTCATTTATTTAACGAAGATTTGTTGGTGATAAATTTGCTTACTTTGATCATAAAATGCCCATAAAACTTGTCTTTTTTATTTTGAGTTAACAAACATGAGTACACGCATATCCTATCAATTGAAAGTATATTTAATTAAAATTTTCTCGTCCTAATTCTTCTTTCTTAATGACTCGAAGTGAAATAAAAATCACAGAACTGTAATTAAAAGCGTGGAAGTGCGTCAACAGTCCGCTAATGTGTATCTTGTCTCTGTTATTGGCCGTTCACAATCTCTGTCAGGCTCAAAAAGTCAATTTGACAGACAAAATTTGGATTTTTAAAAAATTAAGTTAAAGAATAACTGAATAAAACTCGCTGTAGTTGTTTGCAATCCGATTAAAACTCTGGTACATTCTTTCTTACATTAGACTCCGATCTGATTTATTTCGTCGTTATTTTTTAACCTCCAATCTCCCCAAGTTCTCCATAGTTTAATTTAAATATTTGTTATTTTTTTAAATTGCGCATTTGCTGTTTAAATTCAAGGTTGACGCCCGGATTGTAGAGATTTGTTTGTGTAGTGCTGTATGCTCGTGGTCAAACACGTTTCAATTTTCGGGGTAAACAAATTATTTTTCATTATTAATTTTAGAAATAACTTGGCTTTTTAATGTCGACTTTGTTTATCAAGTAGATTTAATAAACCGAATCGTCCTCTTCTTCCCCAAATATTATATCCTAATTTTTTTTTTCTTTAAATAAAGACACAATGGACAAGTTCAAAAGTACAATAATGTATTTCTCCCTTTCTTGATTTGTTTTCCTTTTCAAATAAATTTGTACGTATGTTTAAAGTACACAATTAAAATAAAATTAGATCAATTACATTAATTTGAATGAGAAAAATACACGCATACTGATTTCTTGTTTGAAAAATGACTGTACTCATCAAGTACCATTCTTTAATATTTTAGAAAATATTGACATTATTCTTTTACAGTTAGTACATAGATCGGTTTTATTTACGTAAATGCTTTATAAAACTGTTCCGGTTATGTTCGTGTTTTGCATATCAAAACTGAAATATTTTATTTTAAAAGTTTGTGTATGATTAAAAGATTGTGAAATCAGGTCTGATCACTTGTGCCGTCTTAAGTTATAGTTTAACCGGAATGGGAAAAATCTCTATTCGTTTCTAAGTCAAGGAAAGGTAAAGTTCTACTTCTTGTTTTCGTTGCCTTTTTGTGTAAATAACGAGGTGACTCAATGGTTTAACCGATTTTAATGAATGAGGGTTCGGTATACCCATATACGGAATAGACGAGTTGCCACCGATAGCTAATTGGCCCAAAGAACATAATTATTCACATTTTGTGCCCAGATCTTCTCTTTTCTTCTTGAACTTGCCTTGAATTACGCATCGATTCAACCAGTCGGCCTTAAAAAATTTTATTTCAGTACGTCCATCAAGACAACTAATTATAGAAGAAAGGTATAATCAAAACTAAAACAAGAAACGGCGCGTAATTAACGGATACTAGCACGAATTCTATTAGGCGTGTCCACACGGTACAAACTCAGAAGTCTATTTCTTGGCTAAAGACAGTTGTTGTATAATGATGGCCGATACTTCTCAATGTGGACGCTTTGTGTTATAGTAAGATACGGTAATGTATTCAACTGATAAAGTTTTACGATTGATAGACTCCGCGGCTTCTTGTATATGATTCATTCATTACGTTAAAGCAGCCAACTTAACATGGAGAACTCCCTCTGCTAAAATTTCACATCTAATAAACTTTTTAGTTTGTTTTCAAACTTGATAAATTGATACATGAAATGCTTTCAGTTGTTGACACGACAGTGTCTAGACAGTACGATACATAATAATGAAGGTGGGGTGAGTACGTAGATTCACTTTTTGTAAATGATGGTTCTACTCACAGATTTGTTGTTTACACAGCCGGATTTCGAGCATTAAACGCTCATCATCAGGAGTTACAAACAGGTCTTTTGCCAACAATTTAATGCTGCTCAGTTTTCAACATGCGAAAAATGTGATACAACAACTAAACATTATCCTAATAAATATTGTAAGAAAATAATTTTAAATTATTGCTGAATTTCTATGTCAAATATTATTTAGGTACATGTTTAAAACAGGAGTAAATCAAAATCTATTATATAATTATTAATATATATTATTGCTAGTAAAAAGAATAAAATATATTATTTTTAAAAGAAGCAACAGTCAAACACAGCCACTGTACCAAAAAGTAATCTTTATTTTTTCGTTCCTTGACACACATTGGGAAACACAAAAAGTAGGTAAAATTTTGAAACGAGAGGGATTTGATTAGCTTTTAGAGTGCGTGTTCACTTAGAAATATCCTTTCAAACCTAAAAATAATCTTGACAATTTGTGAAAAAGCGGGGTTAAAAAACTTAATTGTAATTATTGCAATATTTTATATATAGCAACGCGCTATAGAAATTAAAACGAGAGAAAAAATTTGAATTCTGAATTTAAGCACCAGCTAAATGAAACAAATCACAATTTCAATTTGATTTATAATGTCGCATAATTTAGATACGGACAAAATTAATTTATTCCTGAAAATGTAAATTTATTTACAGAATTAGTTTTACTATATACATTTTATGCTTATATTGCTTACATACAAAACACTTGAAAATGAATCCATTTTATTAGTCCTTTATTTACACTTGCTCACTTTTAATTAATTTAAAATTAAACATGGAGATAAATGCATAAATAATATTATAAATTTTGATTTACCCCCTATTTTAGGCATGTCCTAAATAATATTTGACATAAATATTGATCATTATAAAATTATTTTCTTACAGTATTTATCAGGATAATATTCAGTTTTGTTGTACATGTATTTCGCCCCTTTAAAAATAGAGCGGTATGAAAACCAGCTTCTCGTTGGAATCCTTGTACACAACAAATCTGTGAGTAGAACCATCATTTTTTTAAATTGTACGATACATTGTCTCTGGACAATCTCTTTAGATCTACTTATATATCTTTCAATTCAGTATCCCACTGTAGGCGACAATGCCTTACTCTACATCTTTGTTTTATCACTTTGCTAACAACACATCCTCACGATTAATTATACATGAGGATTCCTTGATGGAATTAAATTACTTCCGGCGTTGTTGGCATTACGGGTTTAGACCTCTCATCTGTACTTATGCAACGGATTTATAGACATTTAACTCATATTAGTTGCACTTTTAATTCTAAACATATATTCACACTCACATTTATTAAATACATTCTTTCCTGTTTACACCTTTCACTCAAGTAGATGGAGTTCTTGACATTTCATCATCACCCCATAAAAACCATGTAAATAAGTTATTATGAGAATTCTTCATGAGATCCGCTGGGTAATGATTTGTAGAAAGATTGGACGTTTCCGATCTTCTGGTCTGATCCTGATTTGATCCTTAGGTCACGCCTCTGCATCTACATCTTCAGTTCGTTGTCTTGTCTCAACCTGCTTAAAACCCTGACCAACCAACTACTACTCTAAATTTAGTATTGAAAGTTCAGTAAAGGCTATTGTGAGGTTTCTTGCTAACCTCAGTAAGTTTGCTAACCATCGTGCTAGTCTGTTTATCCATGTTTGGTCTATGGCACATTGCCATATTCACTGGTTTATCAGGATTGTAAGCCGGATGAGGCAATACTAACAAACCTATTGCTGAAAATGAACAGCCCAAACTCATTTTGAAATGCCCTATGGTTGTTGGATTACTGGATATACCGTCTTCACTAGTCTAAAACTGTGCTTTTAGTAAACACAATAGAATGCCTTTATTTCTTTTTAAATGTCGAGCAGGGAATCAAAAATTTGATGCTGTATTCCCCTTCCAAGTCTTAATATCATTATATNGAAAAGTGATAAACATTACATAATATATAATTTAAAGTAAAATTACGGCATGGAGGTGTGTGTATGTATATATATATATATTTTTTAATATATATATATATATATACATCCCGTTTAGACCAGTAGGGCGGTGGAGTACTAGAATTCTTCCATCATATTATCCGCAAGTTGCACAACAAAGTCGATTTGAGACATTCCCGCCACCGGACCTCTCTAACAATGCTTTCGCGCTAATATATACTTTCATTAAAACTAGTGTATTGCCTTAATTTCTGCCAATAATCGTAACTGGACGCTCACAGTCAGATCTGCTAAAAATACGTTTCCTATATAGGGTTCCTACTCGCACACTATAAAGCACCATGTCATGTCAACCTTAATCCTTTTTTATATATGTAGAGCGATGAGTGCTCAAATTCCTCACGGCCAGTGTCCATCAGACATCTCCAGTAAGTTGTTTATATCGGGTACCTCACCACGCTCACTATAAAGAGCCAAGGTATGATCAATGATGTAGGAAAGATAGAGAAAATTTTCTATACTGAACAGTTACTTTTT